CCGCAAAATACCACTTCACAGTTTCGACCTTCTCGTCAACCCTGCTCGGGACGACCAATTTTGGCTAGGCTTCTACGCTCTTTTCTTCTTATTTTCTTATCCTATCGTGATCTAGAAGTGGTAATGTTTAGTATAAGTGATGGTGCTCAACAGATATTAAAGACATCTCAAAATTCCCCAGAATGTACTTGGTAAATCCTACATGTCTCAGAAGAAGCGCTAAGCTATTAGCCCTTCTATGAGGTGAAATAATGAGTAAAATGCCAGTTGAACAATATGAAAAGCCCTCTTTTTTTCTGAACCAAGCACAATGAAAGAAGATACCTTAGCTGTAACAATACATCCGACATATGGCATAACATGACTCTTATCTTTTTCGGATTCCCTTCGCACCTCCACCACTTTGATTTCCTTGCCATGCTAAAACACAGATTTTTATGCGACATCCACCAGCTGTCAGTAAGAGTAGCAAGACATTTTGCCTATCGAATTTTACTTTCTCGCATAGTCGCAATGATATAGTGTACGTCACTGATCTCATGGAAATTCTCACTACTTTTATTGTTACAGAAAGATACACCAAGCATCCTTCGCTCGATCGCTCTCAAGGCAATTACTAAAACTCGGCTCAGCTCGGCCGGCGACATGCAAGACTTGCGAAAAACTTTTTCTTACCCCCTCCCCCAAGGTGTGAAGGACTTCCGATGTCGCAAATGACATGGGCGGGGAGGGAGGAGGAGGGAGGGGAGGAATGCACGTGAGTTTCGAAAGGGAGAATTCGAGGCAGGCAGAACGGACACGACTGAATGGCTACGTGGCGTAGATCCTTTGATGTTAGGCCAGGGTCACGTACATCTGGAAGCGGGAGGGAGAAGCGGTGGCGGATAGGAAAAGCTGCTGGTTTTTGCCACGGATACCCGGGGTAGGGAAAAGGTCGTGGAGTAACCCTATCCACCAGTGCCAGAAAAAATTTTTCGCAAATCGTGTATGGCGCCGGGCCGAGTTCTAGTAACTGTTTTTAGCACAGTAAAACCTACGAAACGTGCACATTTATTACGATTTTTTGTTAAGACTTTTTCGCAAGAACCCAGAGTCAACTCTTGATTCACGTAAATCATTAGAATCGCAATCAATTCTTCAACCATTATGCTGAAGGTAATGATTCCAATAAGAACCATCTAAAAACATAAAATTCGAAAAACTTACATCATTACTTGTATACATATGAAGCTTTCCGGCAAGTGAAGCATGTATATAGCCGTACAATTCATAAGTGCCAGTGCCAGCTTTTAGGTCTTCGCTAATTGGGAAGAGCCGATCACCGGGAACCACAAATTTGCTACTCGCTTCGGGCGTCGAAAACCTACTGCTATTAACAGACATCTGAAATCAGAAAACAACGGAATAAGCAAAAAAGGGGGGAAAATGGACAAAAACAAAGAAATAGGAAAAATTTAGGTTAAAGG